TTATCCAAAATAGCACTCCATCTCACATCTTCATTTTATTCCTAGTACTTACTACCTAAAATTGCATATTGATTTATTAATTTATATATAGTCTGTCTCTCCTAAAATGTAAGCTCTATGAGGACAAGGAGTTGGCCTGATTCAATACTGTAAAACCTTCACTACAGTAGTGCCTGGCACATGGCAGACCTTTAACAAACAACAGAATGAGTGAATGAATGGATAAATGGAGTCCAAAGTTTTGGGCTTCTACCATAGTTATTTTCAGTAAACCATATATATCCAACACATAAGAGGGATACAAATACAGTTACAGAAAAGCCAAATTAGTTATGTTTCATTTTTCTTTCCCTTCTAATGAAAAAACTGGTTGCTAAAATGATCAAAAAGCAGGTAGCCTGGCAAAGCAGAGTTTGAACAATTCAGTAAACAGGTAAACTGGCCTGGATTAAGGTCAGAACATATTCTAGCCTTTCAGAGTGTCTTAACTTTGTTGTTCCCTGTAAGGATGAAATTTCCACAAAGACGCAAACTCCTACAGTAGAGCGGAGGAGAGGTGGTATATAGCAGGCTGCACATGCAAGCTGAGAGTCTACCTCAGTGGTTTTCAACTGGTGGCAAATTCTACAATGCAGATATGTGACAATGCCTGAAGACATTCTGATTGTCAAGATTTGGGGGCTGCGGGATAAAGAGGGGGTAGGGATGCCACCTGTATTTAGTGGGTAGAGGCCAAAGATGCTGCTAAACATGCACAGGACAGCCCCATACAAGAATGAATTATCCAGTCCAAATATCAATATTGCCATTGTTGAGATATCTTAGTGCATTCCCTTTTACTAAAGAAAGCATACTAAATGCAAGTGATATTATTAGATATATAACCTAAAACACACTTGAATTTAGACAATTAAACCAGCACAATTTAAAGTCTTTGGTTACTAACAATCACTGGTGAAAATAAGACTGTAACACATCAGTATGTCAAGTTCCTGCTATTAAGAATCCCTGGTAGATCCTGGAAATAACATTTCACCTGACAACGAGACCATCTCTAAAAATCAAATCAGCTAGAAGTCACTCAAAAAAATCAGAAAGCTATGTTGCCCCCAAGTTACTTAAAGACGGCACTCTGCTACTGCAATACCCACAATATCTCTGGTATTTTTCCTGTGTGTCCTTTTTAAATTTTACCTTTTCCACAAAAGCTTTCCTGTAACTCCACTAGTCTTTGTTACAGTGCCTTCCACCTAGGGGGCACTCAATTAAATGTTTGATGCCTGAAACATTTACTAAAGGAAACTCTCCAGTCCATTCAGCTCATTCCATTTAATTATTTTTGCACCTAAGTACTACCCAAATAAGCATTCTGTTGATTCTTATCTGTATGCCTTGTTCGCCATCTTCCCTGCAGCTAGACTGTCATATTTCCTTCTGTATATACACAGGCTTCAGGATAGAGCAAGGCACCCAAAAGTAATTCCCAAAAGAAATTTCTGATTCACACATTTTTAGGATTCAGCCAGGAAATATGTGTGAGGAGAATGAAGTATGTTTACGGAGTTTCGAGAGAATGTCCTAAAATGATTACTTTCTTTTCAACATTTCTTTGACACTCAACTTCTACTGCGTTCGCACGGAAAGTTTTGGGGCAGCAAGATCGCGGACCAGTAAGAGTTACATAATTCCTTGGAATCTCCCACTTAAGCATCTTTTTCTTAAAGGCGGGGACCACGTTACATGCGGTTACCAAGACAACCGAGAACAGCAAAAATCTGAAGCGGTTCTATCCACGGAAGAAATTCTAAGGTCCAAAGTTAAAGTGCGGGCCAGCAGCGCGAATTAATAGACACCGGCCACTACTGTGGCTAATTTAAAAATCTCTGTTCGGTGCCGCGCTCCCCCCACCCCTTTCTCTTTTTTCAGGAATCCTTGTTTCGGAATAGAGACCGAAGAGAGCGCTCGGCAGACAAACGGCCGTAAGCCAGGCAGTCGCCTCCCGCCCACTTCACTCCGCCCAAAGAAGCCACTGCCCTCCACAACCCCATCGCGCCCACCCAAGCCGCGGACCTGAGGGAGCTCTGTCCACAACCCCAAGATGCTTAAGAGAAGAAAACGTGTGCTTCCTCGGCATCTGAGGTCAGAGATCTACTTACTACCCCTCTGCTTTAGGCCCTGCTGAGAGGGCAAACTCAATCCGGGGAGCCACTCAGGAAAGACCCCAGCTTCGGCGAGGCCTAGTCCCCGCAGTGGGAGGCGGAAGGGCCTAGCCGTCGTCTCAGCCCACGTCGCTCTGTGCCCTGAGCCCGGTCACCGCCCCGAAGAGTGTGGGCAGAGAAATGAAAAAAGGGTACTTCCAGACCCTTCCGTATCGAGGACCCGAATCAACAACCCACCTGGTGAGCGCCATCTTCTTCCGCTTGCTTCCAGCGCGAGCGACAGCACCGCGGGGCGGGCCTTTCCCGGAGACAAGTTGAGGAAAGGAAGGAGCGCGCGATGCGCAGGCGCCTTGGCCGAATAGCCTTCTGGGATTTGTAGTTCTTTGAACGACTGCAATTTAGGTCTACTCTAAGTGGACCAAGCTGATATCATGGGATAAACGCTTAAGTTAAGAAAAGAAAATGCATCACTCGTACACTGTGACATGACAGGGCGTTCCCTAGGCAAAATAACGAAGTCGTGATGCCTTTTAAGCTGCTTTATTTTGTTTTCCACTCAGAATCATTTTCCTTGTGGGAGTCCCAAAATAAAAAGAGCCTTCCGGGTATAGCAACGTTAAGTAAAAGAGTGACAGGGTTTTAAAACAACAGAAAATAGAACGGAGAATGGAGAGTTATTGGATGGTCTGAAAACAGTCACACTCAAAATTTTTCTTTAAACTCTATCCCTTATCCCCAGATCCCACCCCCAAACACTCTCCTAAGGAGGTATTGTGTTATCTTTAGTTAGCTTTAAAACACGGATGTATATTATGTATGCATGTTTTATGTATGTATGTATGTGTTTTAGATTGTGTTTTACATAGATTATGTATTAAACATAATGAACTACAAACCCCAGAAGGCTCTTTGATGAAGTGGTAAGATAAATGGCATGTGCTTCAAAAAACATTAAGAGAGGAAAATGGATGGAGTATAGTTGAAAGGAGATTAGCCTTGAGTTTTGCTCATATTGAAGCTGGACAAGGAAATGAATGTTCATTATAGTATTCTCCACTATTGTATACATTTGAAATTTTCCATGATAAAAAGGAGAAACAAACTTTTAATTGCAGTGTAGCACACATATAGGAATATGCATGCATACACTCTAAGTGTACTGCTCTTTGAATTTTTCCAAACCAAATGCACTAGTTTGAGCAGCAGCAGCAGAAGTAACCCATATCCAGGATGAATTTATTTTTGGTGTGACAAGACGTTCTCAGCTCATATAATACTTTTTCTGCCTTAGACCTGGAATCAATCATTTCTCCAAGGAGCCCTTCTTTTAGTGGGATAGTGATATTTAGAGAAAATAACCTGGATGCTACAAGTGCCCGTTACCGGGTTGATTATTGCTTCTAAGTCTTTTTAGTGGACAAAGCTAAAAAATTTACATACATATTGTTTGAGAAAATGTATTGTGCATTCATACCAGTTTTTCCAAAATTGCAAATTTAGAGTTACACAGATTTTACTTAACTTTGATTTTATATGGGTATCTCTTTTGAAAATCTATATGCCTAATGGTATAACAATTATGAATGTGAAACTGTGGATGAGGGGGCACTACTGTAACAAAACACAATCGGGACTGATCTCATATTCACAGCCTCAGGGATTATGCAGGCCATGTACATGGTGGAAAGGGAGGGAAGAGATCTTAGAATCCTGCCTGACACAGAATATAAGCCACAAGAAAAAAAGACTTATTTGGTAAATTGAAGATCGGTGTAACAAGCGTGATCTGGGACTTTGAAGATATAAATTCAAGCTATAGCTTCATCAATAAGCTGTGTTATCACTGTCAAGACACTTAACTTATTTGGCCCCAATTTTATCAGACTTAAAATGCTGATCATGTTACCTGTTATATATTATAGAGTGATTATGAGACTTAATTGAGGTAATGTAGGTGAATATGTTTTACTCAACTCTAAAGTACTATGTAAATATATTAGTTATTACAGTTAATGTTTTGGGTGACAGAGATCCACTTTAATGTGTAATTTCCAAATAGAGAATAAAAGAGGAGCAAATTAGAAAAGGTCCCAGAAGCCAAGATCAAGGGGCTTAGATTTAATTCAGCAGGTGATTTGGAGCTGAAGGAGGACTTAAATAGAGGGCCTGGGTCCAAGAAGCTGGCAAGAAAGATTATTCTTAAGGCAGAATGAGTTTCTATGGCGATGAGAGACAAAGGAGCACACTGAGGACAAGGTTAAAATAATTAACATGGGAAATCAGTAAGAAACAGACCAAGACCTGGGATGTAGAGTTAAAAGAAAGGGATGGAGAAGAGCTTTTATAGTCTACTTTCGTTTTTCACAGAGGCACATCCATGTGAAGCATTTCTATCAGACATGGTCCCTCGCTGTCCTTGGGGTGTATAGAGAATAGCAACTGATTTTAATAGCAATAAGAAGGCAAATCTACTGCACTAGTAATATGATATCATACCCTAAGGCTAAGTACTTTATTCACATTTGTGGGGTGAGGGGTTTTGTGTTCAGCTGTGCTGGAACTTTCTTGCAGCATCCATCCTCTTTATCACAGGTAATTAGCAGCTGCCTGCTCATAACAGAGAAGCTCAGCGCAGCCACAATTGGTGCTGCGCCAGGTTGCAAGGAATAATCAATTTACTCTATTCTTGATATTCCAGATAGAGGGTGGAATTTGTCTTCAGAGAACCTAGAGCCTAACTTGATTCCTAACTAGCTGTGGCTTTGTAGCCGCAAGTGACACAACTAGTAGTAGTAGGATATAGTAGTTAAACACATAGATTCTGGAGTCAGCTTTCCTGTGTTTCCATCCCAGCTTCTTAATTTACTAGTTGTACATCCTAGGAAAACTTAATTTCTCTCTCAGTTTTCTTACTGAAAAAAAAAAAAAAAAGGCGGGGGGAGTAATTATAACCTAATATCATAAAGTTTTTGGGACAATTAATTGATTGTTAATCATGTAAAGTGCTTAGAACAATGTTAAGCACTCAAAAAATAATTATTCTCTGGCTTTAACAACATTTATTTAGCTTCCTGAGCTTCAGGTTTTATATTTGTAAAGTAAGGCAGTTGAACTCAATCTTATTTTTAGGGTATCTTCCAACTAACATTCTTTTCTCCAATATGATGCATGTTTTTATTTATTGTAATGCCAGTATTTTATGCTCTGATGTCATTATGCTTTAATTATTGCTGCTTTATTTAAATTCATTCTCTGGTGAATAGTGGTACTGCCCCACTTCACTGTTCTTCCTTGTTAGAAGTCGTTCATATGCCTTCACAATCTTTAAAAGAAATTTTAAAAGCAGTGTGTTATTTTGCATTAAAGTATAGTTAAAAAGGCTGGACTTACAGGTTACTTAGTGACTGCAAAAGAAAAAGTGTACTTTTATAATGGAGATATTTGGCTATCATTACTTTAGTATCACTAATAGAAGGACATTCTGACATTGGGTGCTTCTGTATGGAAGTTCTCTAATTACTTGATCAAGTCAGACTTAACTTTCAGTTCATAAGAGATTCAGGAGACAGAGGAACAAGTTAAACAGCACAAGGAAACAATCAGAAAAATCCAGAATGTGAGACATTTTACAAGATTCTTCAAAATGTCAATGTTATACATATAAAAAAGTAATGGAATAGATTAAAAGAGACTTAAGAGATATACCAAATGCAATGAGTAAAAGTCTTGATTGCATTCTGGTTCAATTCAGGGGAAAATATAAAAGATTTTGGGACATTTGGAGAAATTTGAACATGGATTGGTAGTAGACCACATTATGGAATTTTTGCTAATTTTCATAGAAGTATTAACGACATTGTGGTTAATTAGGAAAATGTTCTTTTTTATATATACAAAATGTGTTTATTGGGATGTTTCCTCAACTTATTTTGATTCAGGGTGCATTTAGTGCTGCTTCTTTCTGAAGGAGCATCCTTCTGTAAGCCTTGCTTTTCCTCCTGTAGGCTGACAGAGGACATAAAATTTAGGGAAGAAGCAAAGTTAGAGGACTCACATTTCCTAATTTCAAAACATATTACAAATCTACAGTAATCAAGACAGTGTAGTATTGGTATAAGGACAGACATATAGATCAATGGAATAAAATTGAGAGTCCAGAAATAAACCCACATGTGTGTGGTCAGCTGATTTTTGACAAGGGTGCTGTTATGGTATGAACACATCTCCCTTAAATTCATATGTTGAAACCTAACCCCCAATGCAATAGTGTTAAGAGGTGGGGCCTTTGAGAGGTGATTAGGTAATGAGGGTGAAACCTTCACGAATGGGATTAGTGGCCTTATAAAAGAGACCCAGACCTCTCTCTTTCCCCTTTCATCATGTGAGGACACAGAAGAAGGTGCCATCTGTGAACTAGAAAGCAGACCTTCACTAGACACTAAATCTGCTGGCACCTTGATCTTGGACTTCCTGGTCTCCAAAGCTGTGAGAAATAAATGTCTGTTCTTTATAAGCTAGTTTATGGTATTTTGTTATAGCAGCACAAATGAACTAAGACAAGTACCAGGCCCATCTGATGAGAAAAGAATAATCTTTTCAACAAATGGTGCTGGGAAACTGAATATCCACATGCCAAAGAATGAAGTTGGATCCTTACTCCACATCTTTTATAAACATTAACTAAAAGACTTAAATGTAAGAGCTAAAACTATAAAACTCTTAAAAGAAAACTTATGAGTAAATGTTCATGATCTTGGATTTGGCGAAGGATTCTTAGATATAATACTCAAAGCATGAGCTGTTAATAAAAGAAAAAAATAGATAAATTTCATCAAAATTGAAAACTTTTTCCTTCACAGGACACCATCAAGACAATTAAAAGACAAGCTACAGAATGAGAGACAATATTTGCAAATCATACATCTGATAAGGAGCTTATGGCCAGAATATGTAAAGAACTCTGACATTTCATCAACAAAAAGACAATCCAATTAAAAGAATGGACAAAAGATTTAAACATGTTTCTTCAAAGAAGATATATGAGTGGACAAATAATCACATGAAATGTTGTTTAACACCATTTGCAATCAGGGAAATGCAAATCAAAGCTACAATGAGATGCCAATCATATTCACCAGGATGGGTGAAATAAAAAAGATAGACAATAACAAGTACTGATGAGGATGTGGAGAAATTGGAACACTCATACACTGCTAGTGGTATTGTACAGTGGTATAGCCACTTTGGAAAAAGAGTTCGGTAGTTTCTCAAAAAGTTAAACTTAGGGTTACCATATGAGCCAGCAATTCCAACCTTTGGTATATATCTAAGAGAATTAAAAACATGTCTAACTCAAAACTTGAATACAAATATTCATAGCATAATTCATAATAACCCTAAAGTAGAAACAACCCAAATGTGTATCAACTGATGAATGAATAAACAGAATGTGATATATCCACATAATGTACTATTATTTGGCAATAAAAAGGAACGTAGTATTGATATATGCGAAAACATGAATGACCCTTGAGCGCGTGTAGACAACTTGCCAAGTTGGAGGGAGCCATCTACAAGAGATTACCTTTACTTTTAACATCAGTTGCAAGTTTGGGGGTTCCTAAAGCCACTCTTTGATTTGATAATTCTTTAGAAGGACACACAGAACTCCGTGAGTGGTATTATTACAGGGAAAGGATATAGATTAAAATTAGCTACAGGAAGAAGTGCATAGGGCGGAGTCCAGGAGGATCCAAATGTGGAGCATCTACTTATCCTCTCCCTGTGTAGCCAGAACAGCATTACTCTCCCAGCACCAGTGTGTGACAGTAGGCAGGGAGTATTGTCAACCAGGGAAGCTCACCTCAGCCTCGGTGTCCAGAGTTTTTATTGGGCCTCTATCATATAGGCATGACTGATTGCCTGTGTGGTTGATCTCAGTCTCCAGCCCCTCTAGACATTTACTGATACTGTGTGACTTATAGCCCCCACCTTATATCACATTGCTAGTCTTTCTGGCCAGCCCCCACCCTAAGGCTATTTGATGTGGCCAGCCCCCACACTAAATCAAAAATTTAAGACTACCTGGTGACCCATGGCTCCCAGGCAAACAAAGGCACTTCTATTAGCCATGACATTTCAAGAGCTTAGAGATTACTTACTTCCCAGAACCTGAGGATAAAGGCCAGATCTCTGGGCAAGGTTAAATTCTTTGCTATAGAAACCTTGAGAACATGATGCTTAGTGAAAGGAGCCAGTCAAAAAAGGCTAGATGTTGTCTAATTCCATTTATATAAAATTTCCAGAATAGACAAATTCTTAGAGACAACAAATAGATTAATAGTTACCTGAGGCTGGGTTGAGTAGGGATGAGAGTTGGGAAAAGTGAGTGACTGCTAATGGGTACAGGGTTTCTTTCTGGAGTGCTGAAAAATTACGTAGTGCTGATGGCACCACAACTCCATAAATATACTAAAAACCATTGATCTGTACACTGAACAAGGTGAATTTAATGGAATGTGAAATATATCAAACCTATAAAAGCAAAGTCAAGCAAAATGTAGAATTTATAAAATGAATAAATGAAGAAAAAGTATGATATAATATCCTTTCATTCATTTTTTTCCCAAATGAGCATTAGAATTATTTTGTTGAGTCTTTTATTAAAAAGTCTGTAGAAATATTATCATTGACTTGATCATAAATTAACTTAGAGAGATGATATCTTTACAACTTTATGTCTCAGGAACACTTTAGGTTTTGACATATTAAAATCTTTTATATCTTCCAATAACATTTGAAGTTTTCTTTACATAGATTGTACACATCTCTCAGAATATTGATTTTTAGGTATTTCACTTCTTTTTATCGTGAATGCAATCTCTGTTTTCATAAGATTACTAAATATAACAGTAATTTTTAGTAAGCAAGCCGAGTGTTCTGAAATGCGTCAGTTTATGAGTAAAATCAATTTTTTTTATTGTATATTACTTAAAGTTAGGGTCAACTCGTATTTGGAGAAATTTGCTCCTATTTCTTCTTCCTGGGACTGAGTAATTCTTTGGGCTGATGCATAAGAAAGCAGCTTTGCTCTCAGTTCCTTCCCTTCTCTAGCTCTGAGACTTCCTGTTTAAAAGCACCGTGAGACCTCTTGACCCCATTTCTTTCCAGATTTAATTATTCTTTTTGAAAGTTGGCTGTAACCTTAAGGGGATTTGAAACACAGGGCTCCAGTGGGGATGAAACTTTAGACCCAAGATAACTATCCCTTTTTCTATTGAACAGCTTGGAAGGGGAACAATTTGCCCCTTGCCCTGAGCACTGTCATTTGTTTTGATCATGTTCATTTCTATCAAGTGTGCTGCTGGCTCAGAAAACAGCCATCTGATACCTGAAGTGACTCCTTACATGACTCCCTTGTCTTTTCTCTAGTGACGAGATATTCCACCAGAAAGTGCCTGTTCGTGGACTAAGGAGCTACAGTGTGTGCGGATGGCTATGATTTAATAACTCTAATGGGAAAAATACTGGAACAATAAGAATAGCTATTGTTTGTTGATGTACTCTTCTATACCTATTTATCTTATTTAACTCTTACAACAACCCGATAAGTAGTTAACTCTTATTATCCCATTTTACAGATAGAAAATGGAGGCTTAGAGAGGTTATGTAAGTTGCCCCAAATGACAAATGGAAAATGACTAATCTGGAATTTATACCCAAAGAATTTGTTCTTAACCACTATTCCATACTGGCTCTCAAGTGAAAGATTTTTTCTAAGAAATCTGGAATCAAACAGACTTGAATTTGAGTCCTGCCTCCTTTGCTTCCTAGCTCTATAAACTTCAGCAAGTCTATCTACTTCACAAGGCTGTGAGGATGACATGAGATAATGAATGTCAAGTGCTTAAGTGCTCGGCTCACAGTGAGTACTAAATAAATATCAGCTGTTAGTCTTCAAAAATGTATCAAAAATTTATCTAGTGCTTTTTCAGTACCAAACCGTGTGCTCATTTGGGAAGGGGTGGGAGTACGCCCAAAGTTAAATACCGCATAGCCCGTCCTACAGACCTCCTAGGGGGTTGATAGATCTGGGGTTTGTGGGCTGAATCTGGCCCTCAGAAGTGTTCTATATGTCCTACACATGCTTTAAAACTTTTGAATTATTTGCAGACATTTAAAAATGGGGAGATTTTAAGATTTTAATTTTAGTAAAAATCTGGATTTCCAACTTCTTTTGAAAACCAGTAGAACTGGCAACACTGGGCCTGCATTGTCGCATGGCAGCAATGATCTAGAATGCAGTTTGCCATGTGGGAATGTAGGCCACAGTCCCCACCATTCACTATTGAATCAAAAGCTGAGGGAGTCATTGGCCATTCATTGTTGCAGTCTCTTATGAAGAAATAAACTGCTTCATGTACCTATGATGCTCGTATAAGAAAATAAAAGATAGGTCAAGGGAACTGCATGACTTAAGAAAAATGGACAATGTTTTTGTTTTTAAACGCCAGGATTATTCTCATGTCTGACGTGCTTCGTTTATTTTTTATTGTCTTGCTTCCGTAGGCATTTGAGTTTGCAGCCCCTGGTATAAAAAGATAATCTCAGAATGTGGTAAGTGTCATGCTGGAGGCAAGCCCAAAATGCTTTGGAAGTACCAGGGAGAGGCACATAAACAGGTCTGGGGGTCGGAGTATGCTTTCTCTATTGTCACTTGACCAAGATTATGTGCCATTAATAGGTGAGGCCCAGAAAGACAGTGGCAGAGGTTTGGGCAGTGGGCAGAGTCGGGGAGCTGTTTAAGTAGATGGAACAGCATGAGAAAGGGCTCAAAGGTAGCAGCAGAAGCCTCTGTCTTTGATCTATTGACCTGCCTTTGACCTTCCTACTCAGACTGCCACCCAAGGTGGGTAGTGTCTTTGGCTCTTTCATCCCTAGGAGAGAAAAGATGACTGAACTTAGTCAATGGCTGTGCCCTTCTGGCTCCACATACCAGCCACACTCACATCCCTAGGTTCTACTGACTCCCCAGACACACAGATAAGCTTGGAGACCACCCCTCAAAATCCCATCCATACAGGCACATAATAGGAATCTTTATACCTATTACCCAGTTATGCACCAACAATGATATAGGGCTATTCCTTCAGAGAATAGGCTGAGAATATTTTAGTATTTACATAATAGAAGTCAGAGTCTGGGTGGCTGGTAGAATTTCTACCCTTTCTCTATAAAATAAACCACCCCTAAATACTTGTTCCTGAAAAGGCAAGTTAAATTCCTCCTAGGGCAATAAGAGAAACCTCCAGTGGTGAGAGAGTTTTTCTGGGAGGAATCCAGAATAGTGGAGAGAAGGAATTTTTTCTCAACATGAGAACAGAAGCCTTTTAGAATGGGCAGGGCCAGGCTCAGCCCACAGGTAAAGTAACTTTCTTCATAATGGGTAGACTTTGATAATTTTTTTTTTTTTTTTCGATTTAGGGCATCCATCCAGCAAGGGAACTAGCAGGCCTAGATGTGACTGATGAGAAGGTCGACTGAAAGTGAAGGATGTAAGCCTATCCTTGCTGATAGGCAGAAACACATTCCTACCAGGGGTCTGAGAGACTTGGCAGAGGCTGTGTAATGGCTGAGAGTGGGTGAAAACTGAGGATGGAAGATTTCCCTTGTGGAGTTCAAGGTCAAGTTCAACCTACAGTTAAGAACTCTTCTCCAAACCATAATAAGATATCACTCACACCCACTAGGATAGCTATCTTTAAAAAGAGAGACAATAACAAGTATTAGTGAAGATGTGGAAAAATTGGAACCCTTGTACATTGCTGGTAATAAAATGTGGTATATCCATACAACAGAATATTATTTGGCAATAAGAAGAAGTAAACTACCAATATATGAATCAACATATATGAACCTCGAAAACATTAAAAGAAAGAAGCCAAAAAAGATCAGATAGTATATTATTCGCTTTATATTAAGTGTCCAGAATAGGCATATCCATACTGAATGTGGATAGTGGTTGCCTGGGGCTGGGCCAGGGAGAGAGGAGCAGAGGGGAGGACTGAGAAAGAGAAGCGACTGCTAATAGCTATGGGTTTCTTTTTGGAGTGTTGAAAACATTCTAAATTATTTGGTGGTAATGGTTGTGCAACTCTATGAATATTATAGAAAGCACTGAATTGTATACTTTGAAGGGATGAATTTTATGATATGTGAATTATATCTCAATAAAGCTGTTATTAAAAAGAAAATCTCTGCTCCAAGTTTCCTCTGACTTCCTCTGAGATAATTAGTATCCATGATGGACTTTGCCTCTTATCCTATTTTTATTTTTTAATTCCTGAGCCTCCCTTTACTGATTAACTCCTTAGCTGATGGTTTTACTTAAGGTTCAGCCTTTTCTAGTGGTTATGCCCCATGAAGGTAGACTCTCAACCTCACCACTACTTGTATGATCTTGAGCAAGTTAATTAGCTTCTTGATGTCAATTTCCTCATTTGAAAAAATGGGGATAATAATTGTACCTCTTTAAAGGTTAAGTGTGAAGATAAAATGACTATAAATAAAGCCTGTTTAGAACAGTACCCAATATAGTACATAGTAAATTCTATATAGTATTTGTAATGATTATTTATATATTAAATCTTAGAATAGTGTTGAGTACATAGAGTGCCCTATAAGTATTAGCTATTGTTATTATTATTATTAATTTATTTTTATTAGAGTAATGGCTAACTTGCCTAAGACTTTATTGTTCTACTGTTGATGAACAGCTGAGCTGTTTCCAGTTTGGGGTTATTCGTGAATGATGCAGCTTTGAATATTTTTTTATCACTTTCTCTAGAGTATACATTAGGAGTAGATTGCACAGTTACAGGTAGGTGGATCTTTCTATTCCCAGATAATGCCAAACCATTTTCCAGAGCAGTTGTTTCAGTTTATAATCCCACCTCCAACACTTGATATGCTTGTCTTGTAAAATTTACATCAGCTACGTAATGATGGCATCGATTTTAATTTGCATTTTCCTGATTACTAATGAAGACATACCTTTGATTTTCTCTTTTGTGAAGTTCCTGTTCAAGTCTTTTGTCCATTTCTTACTGAGTTATATGTCTTTTTTTGTGTTGATTTGTGAGAATTCTTCATATGATTTGGAAACTAGTCCTTTGTCTATAGCATCTTCTACTGCTCTGCTTGTTTTTATGCTCCAACAATGTGGTACATTTTAATGAACAGAAAGTTTTAATTCCTAAGTAAAAAAAGTATGAATCTATTTTATTATAGATAGTGCTATTTGTTTCTTGATTAAGAAATTCTTCCTTGTTCCAAAGTTTTGAACATGCTTTCCTGTATTATCTTGTAAAGTTTTTATAGTTTTTCCTTTGATACTTAGGTCAATTCCATCTAGAATCGACTATTGTATAATGTGAGATAGGAGTGCAGTTTCTATTTTTTCTACTTGGATGCTCAATTTTATCAGATCATTTATTTTAAAATCTGTTCTTTTCTCACTGATCTGCAGGCCACCTCTGCGGTATGGCAAGTGTCCATATATGTAGATCTGTTTGAGACATCTTCATTATGTCCCTTGTATAGCAAGTCCTACCCTGTTCTTATGCGTTTCATTGTGGCCTTTACTTTGAAAATCAGCTTATCGGTTTCAACCAACCAACCAACCAACCAACCAACCAACCAATAATAGACAAACAGACAAACAGACAGACAGATACATACATACATACATACATACATACATACATACATATAAACAAAATAGTTTTCCCAATTGGTATACATCTCAAGATCTAATTGGAAGGTAGTGGGCAGGGACTTTTTCATTTCCATCTGGAAGTAAATGAAGAAGCATAGATTTAGTTGCTGCTCAAAATTGCCTTATTCTAAGGACATCAGTATGGGATTGAAAACAACGGCCAGAGAAGGGCAGAGCCCAGAGAATCACCGAGCATAGAGTCAGAACAGTCCTTTTCTCTCAGTCCTTTTTTACCTCTGGGTGCTGCACCTCCATCAATTTGACTTGGGCTTTCTGTTACTTGCAAGCAAAAGCATCCTAACATCAATAAAATATCTTAAATACAGACTTGAATACAGAAGCAAGTAAAAAGGTATCTTAGTGAAAAGGAAAACAGCTGTCACAAAAACTATGAATTTTATTCTATAGGAATATGCAATAATAATGATAATGATGACAATTATAGCTAACATTTACTGTGATAAGAAATGTACATTTATGATCTTATTCCATGGCCATAACCTCCCAGTGTTATTCTTTTTCCAGACCCAGAGATGGTAAGTAACTCTTACAATGTCACACAGCAATTAGGATTCAGATAGTCTGTCTGAATCCAACGCACTCATCGGTTGCTGTTTCAACTTAGAATTCTTTATTAAATAGAGAAAATGAAACACTTTGAGAAGAGCAAGAGTAAGGTTTTTAGGAAAAGGGTAGTTCTACCTCACTACTAGTAGGGACATAAATGGCTATAACCTTTCTAAAGAGCAGTTTGAAAGTATATATTAAAATGTTTACATTCTGAAAATGTTTGTAGTAGTATTCTTTTAACTGCTAATTCTACTTTTAAAAAATGAATAGTGCCCCATAATGAAGATTTTTAAAGGATGTTTATAGAAGCAAAATTTTTAGTAGCAAAAATAGATTAAATAAATGTTGGGAACTAAAATACTAATGCAACTATTAAGAATAATGTTTTAGAATTTTTAATGACAAGAAAAATATACTATCTTCAGTGAAAAAAGCAGATTACAAAACAATATTCACAGCAGGATTTCTATTACATATATTATTTAAAAGACTAGAAGGATATACTGTAAAACGATAGTAGTGATTATCTCTGCAAGGTACGATTATGGATAATTTAAATTTTCTTCTTTGACTTTTCTAAAATTTTCAAGTTTTAACCATAAACTTGCAGAACATTTTATTTATGAAAATTTCAAACATATTCAAAAGTAGAGAGAATAGAAAAATGAACCTGATGTATTCACCACCAGCTTTAACAATTTTCCACACAGGGTCAATCTTGCCCATCATACTCTTTCTCACTTCCTCCTCTGGATCATTTTGAAATAAATCTCAAACATTATATTTCCTTTGTGAAAATTTCAGCATGTCTGTCTAAAAGATAAGGACTCCTTTTTAATAAACCACAACCACAGTACCATTATCACACCCAAATTTAAAAAATAATTAATTCCTTCAGCTCACAATATCATCAGATATCCAGTCAGTGTCAGCGTTTCCCTGATTGTCTTAAAATTTGTATGCATTTTATATTTTTTATGTTTTATTGGTTTTGCTTTTCAGTATATGTGGTTCATTTGAGTCGAGAGCCAAATAAGGTTTATCCGTTGTGATTGGTTGATATGTCTCATATCTTACTTATAGGTTCCCCTCCACCTCTATTTTTTTCATGCAGTATTTATCAAAGAAACTGGATCATTTTTCTTGTAGCGTTTTCCATAGCCTCTATTTTATATCTTCACGATGTTGTTCCTCCTCTGTCTCCTGTAAATTCTTCATTAAATCTAAAAGCTTGATCAGATTCAAATTTCTGTTCTGCTTTGTTTTTTTGTGGTGGGGTGGAGGGAGGGATAAAGGAACTTCAGAGATGGTAGTGTTTACTTCTATTAGGAAGATCTAAATTCTGGTGGTCATTCTTGTGATGTTAGCAGCCATTTATGATCATTGCTACACACATAAATCATTAGGAATTGCAAATTGGTGATGTTCTATCATTCCTTTTCTATTTATTAGCTGGAACACTTCTGTAAAAGAGAATTTTCTCTTCATCGACTATTTAATTATCCTTCAGAACAGATCACAAAGAGGATGAATGCCCAATCCGTTCTCTTTAATGACCAGTTTTTAAAATAATTAGGTGGTTTCCTAGCATTCTTCAAAGGTGACCTAATTTTTTTTTTTTTTCCGGAGTATCATTATAAACTCACTGACTTAAAAATACTTGATGTGCTTCAATCCATTGATGTTTTTAGTTGATTAATGATCATATCGTCCCACCTTTAGCAAGTAGAAGACTCTTTCTGTTGACTTCTGAGTCTTTTTGACCCAACCCCAGTAATTTTTGATAACTTCCATGCTTTCTTTTATGACAAGATATTCCAGGATCATTGAATTCATTTCCATCCCCAGATGTGGAATGAGTTATTTCTCTAAGTAGCCTCATTTTCTTTTAGTGGGACAATCTGTGTACCAGGAGGTGGTGAATAAATGACTTTTTAAATAAAAGGAATAACAGACACTGGACGGTGAATGACAGTATAAAGTAGATAGAACTATAAAAGCGTTACAGTCTAAGATTCCTTTAGAGAT